ATTTTCTCAATTTTTTGTTTTTTTTTTTTACTCTTTCCCTTCCTCTCCACCCCTCCTAGCTATGGACTTTGAAGAACCAACAGTAACCCTTGAATGGGGCTAATGTTGCTTTCAAAGTTATATTTGTGTTGCCCCAGAGGCAAAGTGGACTCTTTGCTCCTGGTTTACCTCTGACACGTGGGTGTAACTGAGCTTGGGGTCCCGCCCTACAAATGTGGAAGCAGACACGGCTTAGTAACGTTGCTGCAGAGTGTGTTTTCCCCTGCAGAGTGTGTTTTCCCTGGTTTCTTTAGCAGCCAGCCCTTCCCTGCTCTGGAACCTCCCGGTGTGGGTAGCCGGCAGGTGGTGCTGATGGATGTGCAGTGATCCTGTCCCCCCCCGCGCCCCCCCGGCCAGCCCTGCTCCCCAGCCCCGGCCTCCTGGCTCTCCCTTGCTCTGCACTTCAGTCCTGCTTGCTGCAAACCCCCCAAATCCCCCAAACCAACATGGTGTGCAGCTGCAGCCTGTGGGAAAGCTGAGGAGCTGATGGGGGTTGAGGGATGTGCTGCTGGGGTAGCCTTGAAGTAGAGGTACTGTGAGCAGTGGAGCAGTTTAGTAGCAATAATTAAGACTGAAATAAGCAGGTGAATATTGAAATGAGCTTTGCTTATCAGTCCCTAATAATGACTTTTTAAAACCTTCACAGAATGTCAGTTCACCTTTGAGAAGGCTATAGAGTACGTACCATTCGGTATGTACACTCTCTCCTCTATTTCTACTGTTCCTCTTGGGAGGATTTTTTTGATTGTACCATACTGTTTTTATGAACATGGAAACCCTCTTGCTAAGAAAACCTCACTTGACTTCTCAGGAAAAAAAAAAAAAAAATACTCAGTTGAAATGACCTGCATGAGAGTTTGTATTTCCTGTAGGCTATAGAATATTAACAGTTTTAACTTACTAATAATACCTAAAGAAAATTATTCCAGAATTTGTACCTGTTCTTGTTTGGTTTTTGGGTTTTTTGTTTTGTTTTGTTTTGTTTAAATCTTGTCCATGGTTTTTTTATGTGTTAAAAACTTTTTGTCTTTTTTATGTCTCATTTTTAGAAGCTGCTAACTTGTGCCAAACCTCCACTGCTGCTACTACGCCTGTGACTCTTACTACTCCATTCAATATAACGTCCTCTGTGGCTTCTGGGACTATCACAAACCCAGTCACAGTGGCAGCTGCAATGAGCATGAGAAGTCCAGTAAATGTATCAAGTGCAGTTAATATATCCAGTCCGATGAACTTAGGGCATCCTGTAACTATAACCAGTCCTCTGTCCATGACCTCTCCATTAACGCTCACCACCCCGGTGAACCTGCCCACCCCGGTCACCGCTCCAGTGAACATAGCACACCCCGTCACCATCACGTCCCCCATGAACCTGCCCACCCCCATGACGCTGGCTGGTCCCCTCAACATAGCCATGAGACCAGTGGAGAGCATGCCTTTCCTGCCCCAGGCCTTGCCCACCTCTCCTCCCTGGTAAACAAGTTCTAAACAGTATTAAAAAAGGATTAAAATGGAATCCTTACCAGCAGTTCTTTTTTGGGTTTTGTTTGGTTGGGTTTTTTTTTGTTTTGTTTTGTTTTGTTTTGTTTTGTTCTGTTGGGTTTTTTGTTTTGTTTTAGTTAATAAATTCGGACTAAGACACTGGGGCAACACCACCAGAGACCATAGTAGCATCTTCCCCTTGATTTGGCTCACATGGTTCAGGCTTGAGTTTCACTGGAGCACTTCATTTAAAGTTTTACCTTGTAGCTGACTGATGCTGAATTAGAGCAGATACTTATTTGCCAGAGTTTTAAAAAAAAGGAAAAAAACAACAAAAAAAAGGTAATTAAAAAACCCAGTTTTATGTTTTATCCCCTCAAATTATAACTTAGAAAATTATTTTAATCTAAACACTAGCAAAGACCCCTCTGTATCTGTAACAGGGTGGATGGCTCATTTTAACCTGCCAGGCAAGTCCACTGTTTCTGAGCTAGTGTAGAACCTTTGTCTGTGTTGATGTTTTTGTTTTTTTTTTTTTTTAATGAGTAAATGCATTACAATGTTGTCATTAAAAAAAAAAAAAATGCATTTTTGGAGAAAATATGCATTTTACCTTTGGGAATATGGTAATTTCAGGCAGCATTCCCTATGGGAAAGGTGATACCAGCTCTGATATGCAAAGCATATGATAACTTATCATTCTAACTTCAACATATAATAGGGATTGTGACCTGATATTTGGAGATGTAAATATTACCCAACATATTACCCTAAGGGAATAGAGCATTGTAGTCAACATTTTTTTTAAAAAAACTGTTATTGTTTGGTGAGAAACAGCCATGGCTGACAGAAGAGGAGTCGAAATGTGTGTAAACATGGTCTCTGAATAGTCAGACCCCCATGGGACTCTTATCTAGGAGCAAAAGGAGTGCTTGGAAACTTAAGGAAAATTGCTTTAAGCTGGAAGATTCTGGAGGCCCTGGGTGTGATTTTTATGCCCTCTGCCTCCCAATCAGAGCCTGCTGGTATTTCAGCAGGGGACAGACGTGTTAGTTGTTCACTAGAAGTTTTGTCTTATATTAAATTGTATACAGTTTTTATTCTAACCACTAACTAGGTAGGATGCCCCTCCAGGACAAGCAGAGAGCGTCTTTTAATTTCTCCCCTATTTCTTAATCAAGTGTTGTGCAAATCTGTTCAACTTTGTAAATATTTGCAAACATCATCATTTTTACGTTATTCTTCTATTGTGTTAACACATTTCTATCAATTTGTGGGAGTTCTGGGGTGCTGAGCTGTCCAGCCCAGAACTGCTCATAAATGGTCACACATGTTTAAGCTACATGTGCTTTTTTTTTCTTAACCTGTTTATCTGTACATAAAGTAGAAAGCAAAGTCTAGGGAAACAGATATACTTTTTAGACTATCATGTCACATATTCACATTTTTAAAACTTTGTTTAAAAAAAAAACAAACCACCCTAAACCCAACCTCTACATTAAATAAAAAAGAAAAAAAGAGGAAAAAAAAAAAAAAAAGAAATTACAGTTGAGATGTTTTTATCTTAATGAAGTTGAGAGCTCTGGAGATTAGCGTGTGCATTTTCACAGAGTGCTAGCAGGACTGACCAGTCACACTGGACTGCTTCCGTTCCTCCCCGGCCGTGTCCGTGCGAGCAGTGATTGCCAGGCTGCTGGCTCAGGTGACAGGTATCTGTATCCTTACGTGAAACTGTTCTAGGGGCTTGGACTACATAGTAAAACAAAAACAAACAAAAAAAAAATAATAGAGCTTAGTGTAAAATAATTTTATAAATGATCTTTTGTACTTTAGGACATCAAATTGTACAACTTTTGTATATATAAAAGCTTAGGAACTTTCTGTTTAGCAGAAAGGAAACACATTCCTACACTTTTAATGTATATGTTTGTTATAATGTCCATGTAAACATATGCCCTATGTTTGTGCCTTTTAATTAGTTTGTCTCAATAAACAAAAATGTAGAGAAGAATATGTAGCTATGACTTTGTTACCACTGTTCTTACTCCAGGTGTGTAGAGGTCTTTGTTTTGGCCCTGTGTAGAGCCCGGCGTGCACAGCCAGCCCGCCAGCGCATGTCCCCAACCCCGCTGCCCCGGCCCCGCTGCCACCTCCACACCGTCCTGCATGTTGGGACCTGTAGCTCCCCAGCCATCTCTGTCATCCCTGGCCACGACACCACCTTGCACCAGTTTCCCCAAGTAGGTACAGCCTTCTGGGTCTGGGTAACCGCAGTGATGACCCTTAGATGAAATTTGGATATCCCTGAGCTTAAGGAAAAAAAAAAAGAGAACAAAAGCATTAAAAGCCAATATGAAAATGTGTACTAGAAGTGGTTATCTATGAATTACTTACAATAAACAGGTGTGAGACTTAATTGTATGTTGTCAATTACTGCAGTATTGACAGTGGGTCCCTTGTACAGCCAGCTGTTATTTTTATCCCAGCAGTGTAGCAGTAGAATAAACACATTAAACACCGGCAAGGAAATTTTTCACCGTGACAGAGGCTTCCCAAACCACTAACCACGGTGCTCTTAGCGTGGTGTAGGAAAAGGGCTGTTTCCTTTTTATTTTATGTTGGTTCTGCTCGACTGTACCTGGTTTATGTCCACAAAGCTGCATTAGCTAATTGTCGACCTGTTTCATTTGTACTTGGGTAAACATTTGCTTTGTACCGTGTATTAATGGGTCCGAGGTGTGCTCCTCCGCTGTCTCAGTGCGGACATTGACTTCGCTCTGTAATGCCATCCTTGCAAATACATTAAGCTGTTTTTCTGACAAACAAAAGCGACCTGGTCCAGTAGTTTATATGACGTGCATGCTCCCTGCTAATCCGTGTCCGTGCCCATGCCGGTGCGGCCGGGGATCCGCTGGCACCTCGCGCCGCCACAGCGCCGCCGAGTTAAGGCTCTAAGAAAATGGTGGATGCGAAGAACAGATGCTCCTGTTACACCGAGTTAGTTTCTATGCAGCTGATGCGCTTAGCCTAGTTTATTTCATGGAAACTTTTAAGCTGGATGGAATCCAACATCCAGGGAAGCCTATTGCTGCCGCTGGTTCGAGTGGGGTTTATATCGAGCCCATTCAGGTCTCCGATTGCAAGGAGTTCAATAGGGGGTTTATTTTTTTCCTTCTGAAGTTTCCGTAAGCATTCAGCGTGAGGTGAATGGCTTAGTGCCGGCCGGGAGTTTGAGAGTTGCGTTTTGCCTTGGAAGGATGTGTGCCGTGGAAAGTCAGAGCAGTCAGATGGAGGGCACGGAAAGGCGTCCTCCGGGCAAGGAGAGCCACGGGGCAGCGGCCACAGGGACGTAAGTATTGCAGCACAGCCAGCCACGCTGCCAGAAATGCTGTACATGCTATAAAAGGGCTGCTTTTCTCTTTCTTTGGAACACCCCAACACTTCCAGAGAGTGTTTGGGGTCAAGAGAAATTTGGGATTCAACCCTTTTTTTTGAAGAGTTACACCTGAGTATTGTAAATTGGGAAGGTTCGGTTCAGTCACGATGGATCAGAGAGAAACACATTTTAGTCTCAGCGTACGAGTTTAATTCTATTAGCCCTTGATACAAATAAAACTTTTTTTTCCCTCTTAAAACAATTTTTTCCTTAGAGAGGCAGAAGAAAAAAGTATTTAATGTGTTTGCATTTGTCCACAAGAGGTTTAAAGAAAACCACCCAGACCCCAGTAAGCTGCTGAGCTGCAGCAATCCCAGGTTACATAAAGGGGCCGGGGCTGCTGAGGATTAGCCAGGGCATTCCGGGTGCTGATAAGCCTCCAAGTTCTGCTCACTCTTCCCTCACTTTTATTTTAGAAACAGCCACTCTGAGCCGCATCCCAAAAACTGCCTGGGGTTCACTTTCAAGGCTGTCAGGGTCAGATTCCCACCAAAGAGAGAAAACTGGAGTTTAAAGGACACTCAAGTTTTTAAAGCATCGAGCACTGTGGTAGTTTTTATCTCAGGGTCCCTGCACAGGAGCCGAGTTGTTGAGAAATGAACGACAGTTTCTCACTGCTGGGCCCTTCCAGAAACTCCTGCCCTGCTTCATTGGTAGCTTAGTTTATCCATCTCAAAAACAGATTAAACAGTATTTTCAAAAGGCAGCTATTAAAAGCACTTCAAGTTTTTAAATGTCATTGGGGTTTCAGTGCATAAATGAACCTTTTAACCAGTGCTTTCTAGGAGAAAAAGTGTAAAAATAAATCTCTTTGTCTCCTAACTGTCAGAGAATAAATCAAATTAAACCTGATCCCCTTCTACCTATTTGTATAATTCAGCATGTTTATACTTCTTGCTTATCTTTGGATTGTTCACTCCCAGCTCCCAGAGCAGCAGCTGAGGGATGACAGAGGAACTACGTGCTAATTTTTATGTCAAAAATAGCTTTCACCTTTAAAGGCACACGGCTCAGTGGCTGTTTTCTAATTACAAAAGGAATGCCAAAGCTTCTCCCTCGAATCCATTTTACAGCTGTGTTCAGATTGGACTGTCAGCCCCTGGTTAAAATTGAGTGCTGAGGTCCTGACCTAGAAACAAACCTTTTTTGGTACTGCTTTGGAAAGAGTATTTCAGTGCTGGAGGAGCTGAGCCAGGCTGTCCAGCCAGCTCCCTCCACACGCCTGGCGACAGCGGCAACCTCGCGTCCTTTCATCGCACTCTGCATCGCCCCGAAACCCAAATCAGGACCACTGGACAAGCCAGGCTTATGATTCTTAAAAACTTTTTTTGGTTTTGTTCTTCAGGTTTCTGGACTAGTCTGGTGGAATGTGTCCCTGCTCTTGGTGGGGGCTTAGAATGAGATGAGCTTTGAGTTTCCCTTCCAGCCCAAACCGTTCCATGTTTCTGTGATTTTTAGAAGTCCCAGCTTTTCCTTTAGGGAAGCATCAGTGCTTTCTGAAAACCAGACATTTGGCATCTGCAGTCACAGGTTGTGTCAGAGCAGAGACCTGTGTTTTCCTTGCAGAGCATTTACAATCACTCCCTCCCAAACTGACCCATTTAGTCAAAAATAGGGCATTTTCAGGATGTGTGAAACCTTTTGTTTTCCAGAGAAGTCAGAAATATTCCATTCACCTTTTCACCCAGTTGTTCTCACCAGCTGTCAAGATGAAACCATTTCTGTTCTGTGTTTTCTGTGCAAGGTTTGTTTTTCAGGGAATTACCAATTTTGTTTGAATTGGCTGAATTAAATTCATTATTTTAACTCTTCATAGTTGTGTATTTCTATGCCCATTTCTTTTTACTTCCTAGCATCATTAGCAGCTAAGACCTATATCAAAGGGATATAAAATTGCCTGTTTTTCCCGAAACAAGCCTGGATTAGGAGGAGATTGCAGCCACCAAAGCTCACTGCAAGGCGCTGTGCCTCCAAAGAGTCTGATCTGCGCTAACTTGCGGAAGAGAATGATGAGGCACATGTTCAGTACACGCTGAAAGCTGAAGGTTTGCCTCCAGTATTTCCACTTTTGCTCTGTGTTCCCTGTCAGAGCCTTCCACATCCTTACCCAGGACTGCTCAGCTCCCAGACACAGATTGACATGATGGAGTGGGACAAATCTCAGCACGAAGAGCTGTCCTGTGAGAGCTCTGGACCATCCCACAGCTGTGCTTGGGCTCCAGCACCCACAGCCGTGCACCCGAGCAGTCTCTGGCTGTGGCAGGGTGCTGTGGGAGGCCGTGGTGCCAGAGGTGTGGAGTTCTTCCTGCAGCATGTCTGGAAGGTTTGGAGAGCCACGAGGGAAGTGGAGGCTCTGAGCTGCTGCTGTTTGTGGTCTCGCTCTGGTCTCTGTGGAATGGGAAGCGTTTGCCCTGTGTAAACGGGCTCCTGTAATTTGTAAGAGGAGATCGCTTCCCGTCCCGAGCTGTCAGCCAGAGCACGCGATATGGGGACGGCTGTTTTCTGTCTGCTCCAAGTGATACTTGGTTGTAACCTCTCTGGGATGCTCAGCTGTGGGGCAGCAGTGCTCTCTCCCCTACCTTACCACGAGACTGGAGGTCTAGGCTCCAGGAGCATGGGACATTCCAAAGGTGTGGAAGAGGCTGAGAGCCAGCCTGGAGAGCTGGGATCCATCTATCCATCCATCCATGGGATCCATCCATCCATGGGATCCATCCCTGGGATGCTGCTCCCCCCACACACTGGCCCCCAGGCCACTCAGGGCCAGAGGTGCCGACCTCATGGCTGGAGGCGCAGGGGATGCCTGGGGACAGCAGGGGAACCCCGAGATCCTCAGGACCCGGCCAGGGCTGTCTGACCTCGGGGAGCGGCGGGGCCGGGCGGTGCCGCCCCGCGGTGCCCCCGGCCGGGCCGAATCGAGCTCCGCTCTGCCCCCGGGGGGACTCCGGCCCGGGGAGACGCCGCAGTCCCGAGGGCCCCGCACGCCCCCCGCCCCCGCAGCCTCTCGGCGCGGCCCCGCTCCCCCCGGCCCGGCCCGGCCCGGCCCGGCCCCGGCCCCGGCCCCGCCGCGCCGCCCCCCGCTGCCGGGCACGGCCCCCCCCGCCCGCCCGCCACGTACGTCTCCCGTCCCGGCTCCTTTCCATGGTTCCCGGCGTGACTGGAGCCGCCCGCCGCCGCCCCCGCAGCGCGGCGCCGACCGCCGGTAAGGGGGGGCGGGCCGGGGCTCTTTGTGCGCCGGGCCGGGCCGGGCCGGGCTGAACCGGGCAGGGCTGGGGCCGGGCCGGGGCCGGGCCGGGGCG